GCATCTGGAGGACATAGTTAGGCACCTTAAATGGACATATATGTTGAATATGCATTATGATTGGATGAGAACAAAGCATCCGCATTTGATGAAGGTATAAATGTTGAGTTTGGGTGTTTCCTCGTTGTTGCAATCTACAGCCAACCCTGAATGACTGTATGAATGTAGACCTTTTCCTGCAGGAAAATAAATATTCAAAAGACTTTTGTCTCATACCTTTAATTGAAATGGAAAATTGCCATGACACCCACACAGGCTATTACCACTCTCAATCACTCCACCTCATTCTCAACTCTCTCCTTCCCCTCAGAGCTGTCTCTCTCGTTCTCATATTGTAACAGACAGACAGACAGACACAATGATGCAAATCCTGCCCTTTCTCAGCAGACAGACACAAACAAACACAGACACACATACGCTCGGAGAGAATAAGCTGTCATGGAAAATCATGATGTCCTGACAGCAAACACCTCCTCTCCTCCTGTTCTCTCCCACACTCACTCACTGCCCAACTCCAGACATATTTATCTGCTAAATTTGTTTCTCCGGTGCAGCCGGGTTTGGTCCTGCTGGGCTCACTGTTACTACGACATCAAAGACTTTTCCTGCTTGGCACACCAGACAACAAACAGACAGCTTGAGAAGGGAGGAGGATGGAGCTGTGAGATCATCCCAGAAGTAATCGACTGTCAGAACAAACATACTCCCAGTTTTCTGATGGGCTGAATAGCACCTGCCAAATTCAGTCATCAACTCAAATCTCCAAAAAACACACACTTGGAATACAGAATGCTAATTGTTTATTGGTGTTATGTGCCACGTTCACTCACTGGGGATCTGCTGAATCTTATGGACCACCACAAAGGCATCAGACAGTCCAACCTTCACTGGATGATTGACAGAGTCTTTGCAATCAATCTGCACTGGGACCTGAAATAAAAGCACATACTAGTTAACTCATCATCGACCTGAGGAGGTGAAGTTAGACGGCTAGTTAGACAGCTAGAAGGAAAGCGAGAAAGCAAAAAAGGAAGACAAGAAAGCAAGCAAGATGGAAAGAGAAAGAAAGAAAGAAAGAAAGGAAGGAAGGAAGGAAGAAAGAAAGAAAGAAGAGATATGGAGTGAGCAGAGACATGGGGAGAGGGAGAAGCCTAATTCAGTTAGGAAGTTTGTGGGCATGCTGGCTTTTTGTGGGCACAGTGGGCTAGGACCAGCCCACACCAAACCTAAACAGGCCCGGTGCGGGCTTGCCCAGGGGAGGCCCACAGCTCTGGTCTCATCGCAGGCTCTCTGTGAGCAGCCCACACTATGGGACTGCCCACATTAATCCCATGATGGCCCAGTGTGGGCCAGACATGAGCCTGTTAATAAGAATTTTGTGGGCAGTTTTCTTCCTTACCACTAGGGATGCTAGGGTGTTTTAGGTTTCCTTAAGCAAAGCCATGTGGTAGAGAGAGTTAGCAATAGAAAGCAGCAGTAGCCAGCATGGCTCACCTGCTGAACACATTGTGCTGTGTCCTGGTTGGGAAATGTATCATTTCAAGCCCAGTCTAAAGGAGTTTTTTTTTCCTATTTAAAAGTGTACATTGCTGATGTTTTTTTTGCAGAGATGGAACATGTATGTATGGCCGATGTTTGGATTGATGCAATTGTATGTATTTTAGAAGCACTCTTTATTGGTGTGAGGTTACCACATCATGGTCCAGTTTGAATATAGATTTAAAGTTATTTTTGACATGAGACCATAGTCTGGACTATTTTTGATTGTTCCTGGTTAGGAAGAGTCTGGTGTTTGTGAGCTGTGGCGTGTTTTCATTACAAGAGGTTGGATTATTAATTTGCTATCAGTTGCTTTGTTTGCGTTTTTTTTTTTTTTTTGTAATTGTGTATTTGCATATTTGGCTATATGTAGCTGTATTAACCGGAATTGAATGTTTTCTATTTTGTATTGAATAAATCCATTGATTTGAAATCCCTTTGACTACTGTACATTTTTG